GGCTCAGTGAGTATGACACAGGAACCCTGAGCAGCAGGTGCTGTTGCTGTGGGTCCTGACCTCCCTCCTGTCCTCCAGCCCTGCAGCTCAAGTGTCTCCTTGCACACACATGCACACGTACACGCCGGCCTCCAAGGCTAGGGGACCCCTGCGGCAGACCAGCTGCCCTTCCCATTCCTGGACTCTTCTGGTGCTGCCAGCCCCCATGAGGACCTGGGTCCCCCTCCTCAGTTCTGTGGCACAGCCCCTTCCTCTTGCCCATCAGAGCCCGGTCCTGTGTTCACTCGCTGGACAAGGAGGGGGTCTGCAACTCCTCCCAGCTCCTGCCCCCATCTGCCACCCTCCACGTCCACAGGTCGCCATCTGCCCTGCTGGTTCCGCCGGAGCTGCTCTGGCTGGGTGCCCGGGGGAAGGGCACCATGGACCCGGACCTCCCAGACCCCTCTGCCAGCCTGGCCAGAACCTGGGAGGTTTGGCTCTGGAAGGTATAAAATGCAGACTTCCTTCCAGAGGTTTTCTGGTGACTGCCTACCCCACTCCCACCCCCACTGTGGACCTGGGAACCCCGCCGAGATGGAGGACAGAGCCAGAGGACCTGTGAGGCGGGCCTGGCACCATCTGCCCAAGAAGCCTGGCCAGGGGGCTGGGGGAACAGGAAGGGCAGAGGTAGGGAAAGGGTGGGCACACCTACCCTGGAAGGCCCATGTACAAGCCAACCTGGCTCTCCCGTGCACACCAGCCCTCCAGGGGGACGTGGGACCTGAACGCAGCCCTGCTTCTCCAGCCTGTCCCTGGGGCTGCACTTCAGTGCCCAGGGGTGTTGCTGGGCACCAGGGCCGCCTCTACCACCTTCCCCTCTTTCTCAACCCTGCCTGGGCCTGGAGCTGGACTCAGGTGGCCCTGGACACGTGTCCTCTGAGGGGGACCTCATGGGGACAGGAATCTGAGCCCCGACCGCAAGCTGCCTCCTTCCCAAGGTGCCCTGTCCCGGGAGGGTTCTGGAACAGGCCTCTGTGACAGCAGGAGGGACCTGGGAGAGGGCTTGGGCCAAGCTTCCTGCCCACAAGGGCTGCCAGGCCAGGCGCAGAGCGGGAAGGCCCCACCCCAGCCCAGCCGGACACCTGCCCAGCACAGGACGCTCCGAAGACAAGCCAGGCTAGCTCCACCTGCTTGTCCACCCCCCTGCGGCAGGGCCACCTGCTCCAGGGCTGGGAGCCTCAGCGCCCACGGCCCAGCCCCTGGCACAGGCCTGGGCACAGATGGCCGTGTGCATGGGGCCTGCAGCATGCACGTCATCCAGACGCGGGGGGCAGGGACTGGTGGGCATCCAGGCCCCGAAAGTTGTCCCCACCCCTTCCAGGGCCTGGCAGCGGCTGGGGCAGAAAGGAGGGTGTGGGCTGCTGCCCCCAGAGCACAGTGGGCTTCTGTGGGGAGGGTCTGGGATCCCATCCAAGCCCCTGGTTTCACATCCTGCTGGCCCAGCACCGCAGGGTCCCAGCCCTACCCTTTTGTGAGGGGGGAGCCAGCCCCCCTTTCCCCTCTCTGCAGGGGAGGTCACCCAGGTCACCCAAGTGCAGCCAGAGCCTGAAGGGCTGGTGGGCAGAGTGTGGGTAGGGCCTGCGACCCTCATGAACCGCCCTGATCACTCAGGCCTGTCTGCTGGCTCTTCTTGGCCAGCGAGAAGGGGTGACCCTGTGAAAGGACAAGCAGAAGTGAGGGAGAGGGGTGCAGGGCAGGCTGGGTGGGGTGGGGTGCGGGCGAGGGCCGCTGGGGTGGGCTGCGCAGCTGTTGCTGGAGTGAGCAGGCGGCTTCCTCTTTCCAGGAGGCTGCGCCTGGCATCCGCCTGCCCAGATGAGGGCCCGAGTTCGAGTTCTCGGCCTGCGGTTAGCCCCCTGACCACAGGGCGGGGTGGGGTCCCGGAGCCAGACTGTGGCCCTGGGCTGACAGACCAGAGGGGTGGAGAGTGAGGAAACAGGCCCAGCTGGGGGCTGAGGGTTAGGCCGGGGTGACAGGCAGAAGTGAGAGCTTGGGGGGCAGGGACAGCCTAGGGAGCCCTCCACACTGGGCCCACTTCAGCTCCAGGCCTTGGTGCGGAGGGTGGCCGGCTCCCAGGTGGCCAGGGGCCCCTCCTGAAGTGGGGGTGGGCGGGCTCTCTGTCTTCTCCAGGCCTTTGCCCTCTGTCGGTCCTGGAGGCGGGGGTGCAAGGAGAACTGGGGAGGAGTTTCTCCCACGCTGACCTCTCCCGTAAACCCTCGGGGCTCCCTGACTCCCTCAGAATGACCTCGTGAAGGGGGTTCTGACGCCAGGCAACTTCCACCCTATCTGCCCTGGGAGGGGGGTGCCCTGGGAGGGGGTGGCTAGAGCCTTCTCTAAAATACATTTTTATTGACTTTTTTTTTTATCCTCACCCGAGGACACCTTTCCATTTTGTTCAGATAGAGCGGGAGGGAGAGAGGGGAAAAGAGAGAGAGAAACATCGACGTGAAAGGGACACATCGAGTGGCTGCCACCCACACGACCAACCAGGGCCGGGGACAAACTGCAACCGAGGTACGTGCCCTTAGTGGGAACCAAACCCGGGTCTCTCGGGACTGCAGGCCGACGCTCTAACCACTGAGCAAAACTGGTCAGGGCCATTTTTATTGACTTGGGGGGGCGGGATAGAAACATCAATCAGCTGCCTCTTGCATGTCCCCCCAGTGGGGACCAAGTCCGGGCACGTGCTCTCAGCACATGGGATGCCACTCAATCCACTGAGCCACACAAGCCAGGCCCAGAGCCTTATATTTTTTCGGTACGGGAACCAAACCCAGGAGGGACACTCTGGTCCACAGGCCGACACTCCTAGCCGCTGAGTCAAACCGGCCAGGGCTTACTATTTTTTTTAATTGTATTTTTCTTTATTGATTTTAGAGACAGACGGAAACATCAATTGGCCGCCTCCTGCATACCCCTCACTGGGGATCGGGCCCACAACCTGGGCATGTGTCCTGACAGGGAACCGAACCGGCGACTTCTTGGTGCAAGGTCGCTGCTCAACTACTGAGCCACACAGGCTGGGCGCCCAGTCTTTTTAATGCTGTAAGTTTACACCCAAAGTGAAGCCCAGGGCAGCCCAAGCTGGGAAGCTTCCCACAGGGCTGCCTGTCCTGATCTGCCTCCCTGCCCTGTGGCCTGGCCCTCAGCTCTCTGGAAGTAGCACCTCAAGTGGGGAGAGGAGGGAGCCAGGAGGGGTCTGAATGCTGGTGGCAGATGACGGGCAGACAAGGAGAGGTGCTCAGCAGGCAGAGTGCCCAGCACCAGGCCGCACGGCAGCTCTGGGCACCCACCTGGCAGGCCCTGGAGGGCACAGCAGTGGTGGGAACAGAGGCCCAGTGATGAGAGCAAGTCTGGACAAGTCCCGGAGACCACGCAGGTCACGCCGCCCCTCCCGTGGGCTCAGTGTGAGCGGGGGCCTGGGACGCTGGCGGGATGCAGTGGGTGGTGTCCACTCAGGAGACCCAGGCGACAGCAGGAAGGACAGCCCTCCTGATGGGCATTGCCGGGGGTGCTCGACACCTCAGCAGACACTGTGGTCTGGCAGGAAGCATCACATGGCCAGTGTCTGGGACCACAGGGTCTGGCCACCGGTCTTCGCTCCCCCTCCCTCCTCGTCTGGTGTGTGGGGCCTGGGTTGGGGGGCAGCTGCGGTGGGGGGACGTTCTTGGGAATAGAGGGTATCATGGCCTCAGCTGGGCCCGTGGAGTGGGGTTTGCTGTCTACACCTTGGGGCACCCCAGGACCCTGAGCAGGGCGCCTGGTCCATGCACAGCAGAAGGGGAAGTGGCTCAGCCTCCGTCCACCCAGCCCATCAGCTGGTCTCAGACCCTGAGCAGCAACCCCACGAAGAGTAGCTGCTGGGGGCCCTGCTGTCCCCCTCCCAGTCCTGGGGTGGCATGGACAAGGCCACCTGCACCTGGGGACCTCTGGGGGGGGGGTGTCTGTGTGCAGCAGCAGCACTTCTGGGCCCAGGTTTGAGGGGTTTCCCGAGGTTGCAGGACGCAGGCACCTGGGAGTCACCCTGCGCTGGGCTGTTCCCGCGCTCCTGCCTGCCGGGGTCTCTGGATGACCAGGAGGGCTGGGCTGGGAGGCCGGATGTGGGCAGCCAAGGAAGTCTGGTGCCCGGGGCCCAGCACAGCAAGGTCTGCGAGGCCCAGGGAAGCTCCTGGGAAGTCAGGCAGGCGTGTAGGGGGTCCTGTGCTTCTCTCTCAGGGAGCACTGGAGTCTGGGGTTCTGACACCCTGTTCCCTGGCTCTTCGAGGGACCTCACAGACCCCTCGAGGCTGACCCAGGAAGGGTGCACCCAGCCTGGCCCGGCAGGGCCTCGCTGACATGCACCGTGTCAGGAAGGGCACAGCTCGGCGTGACCCGGGGGCGGACGCCCCTTCCCCTCCCCGTGCCCAGGCAGGGATGGTGTGCGGGATGGGCCCAGGCATGGCGGCTTGTGTCCTCGCTGTACATCATCATGTTTGGGGGAGGGGCGCCAGGGGACGGCTGGGTACAGAGCGAAACAGATAAATATGCCAAGCATCTCTTTTTCTTTTTAAATCAGGCATTTATAAACAAGAGCGCATACATTAATTACATAAAAATAGTTCTCGGATAGTAGAGTAAGTCATCAGACGTCAGCAGCAGCAGCAAAGGGGGACGGGGACGGCGATGCGGACGCTCCCGGCAGACACGAAGGTAGAGCTGTGTTTGTTTTTTTTTTCCTTAATCGAAAAAAAAAAAGGTCGTTGGTGACTCCTGACTGAAGCGAGAACAACCTTCCTCGAGCTCAGCCCGGGCGGGCTGCTCGGGAACCCGCAGGGCGTCTCCGTCCCCTCTGGCAGAGAAGCATGTTCGGTGAAAACCACCCGGAAAACAAGACGGCTACCAGGTAAGAAAGGGTTTCTGGAGAACGCCCCCCACGTACACGTAGGATACAGGGTGTGACGGAGTATTTACAGGTGACGTCTGTCACCGGCCAGTTCGGAAGGAAAGCGGAGTTCCGGGTGTGAGTTAGCTGCTCCGGAGATGTGTTATTGCTGTTGTGTTTTCCCTTCGTGAAGTCTCTTCCAGCATAGAAAAATGAGTAATTCAACTAAATACACAATCATCTGACAATGGGTGTCACACACAGGGAGTCAACAGCCTACAAGACAGATTCCTCGTCTCCCCCTGGAAAGACGGAGCCGCAGCTGCACCCGGGAGGCGGGTCTGGGCCTGCACAGGGAGCTGCACCCACGGGTGGAGGTGGCAGGTGCCCTTGCCCGTCGGCCTCGCCCAAGGAGCTGCCCGGGAAAGCTGAGCTGCTGGTGAAGGGAGCCCACCCTGTCCCCCTCCTGCCCCCTGGCTCCGCAGGCCTGGGTGGGACAGGGCCTCACCCCCAGCTCTCGGGGACAAGGGGCCGCTGCGTATCTAGCTCTTCCCGACGGCGATCGGGGACAAAGCTGGCAGAGGGGCGCGGGAGACCAGAGGGGACAGTGCACGGGCAAGGATGGGCGGCACCTCATGCACCACGTAGAGAAGGCATCTCCCTCCGGAGCCTGGGGACGCGGAAGCGCGGGAGCACCCGGCGGCCTCGGCCGCCCTGCGACTCTCCGACTGGGCAGCACAGAAGCCCCGACACACGTAAAGCTTTGCTCCAACTAAACCACTTAGTTTCCCTTGAAAAATGACTGGAAAAAACACAACTCCAGAAAGACCAGGCTGACACGCGTTCTGAGAGTTGCCTGACAACTGACCCTTACACGACACGGTAATAATGCCCATCGAGGGGTATACGTATGGCAGAGGTTAAAATTCCATGCATACAGGTTTAATAACTGCAAAAGAAAAACAAAGCAAAAAGAAAAAACAAAACCCAAACACACGCTGCGTCTACATGGTGTCCCGTTTGCATTGCACTTAGGAGGGGGTCCAGCAGCACCTGGGCCCCCCAGTAAACCAAGGGCGACCCCCCGCAGAGGGCGTCGGCACCCACGTCTCCGCTCTGGCCTGTGCGCAGCTGCCCGGTGTTAGAACGGAGTCAGGCGAAGAATTTCGGTAAGATCTTCCTTGTGTAAATAAATACCATCATTTCCAGGTGGGTAGCGCCTCTTGTCTACTGGGAAATCATTTTCAAGCTTGGGCATAAAAAACCTTATACAATTTGCATAAACAGTTGAGAGTAAACGAGATTATTTGGAATAAATGCAAGGAACTTATTTGATAGTGGCAGATTCGATCGCTACTGAAGACGGATATTTGGGGGTAAAAGACGAGTCAGGATTCGCTGTACAAGATGCTGGAAGGCACAGAACTACCCCCCGAAGTTCAGTTTTTGCGTTTCGTTTCCGTGTGATTCCCTTGTTCAACCAAGCACCAGAGGGGTTTCTCAACGCGCGAGCACTTAGGATGTGACCTGCTCTAGAAATCGGTTTCAACGTTTGACAAGTAAAAACCTCAGTTAACGGGGGAATAAAAAGGGAAGATTTTTGACAAAGTGCAGTTCTAAGTATACGTTTAAATGAACAAACAAACAAAGAGAAAAAGAAAAAGTGAAATAATGCTGTTTTGTTCCAATGCTGCAGCCTCCGTCCCAGGCTGAAGGAGCGACGTCTACCCAGCCGAGAAGGGGCCGCCTGGTCAGGGGCGCCGAGTCTTCTGTCACCTCCCGGCGGTGAGGCCCCTGGCGGAGCCGGGCCCTGCAGATGGACGGTGGCGGCGGGCGTAAGGCGGCAGTGTCAGCTCAGGCGCGTGCTCCTCGCTCTTCCCGCGGCAGCACAGGAGACCTGGGTCCTTGTCGCTGAAAAAATAGACTCTGGAGAAAAACCCTTCCTGTCCTCATGCAGCCGCGGGAGCGGATGAGCTTGTGATGGCTTTGTGGGCGGGGCGGCCACCACCCCGGCTCCCTAGCGGGTCCTCAGATGGCGTCTCATGTTGGTGGGGCTTTTAAAAGTTAGTCATTAAAAAACGTGTCGATTTTTTTGTTTTCTGAATATCAAGTCTTCTTATTGGTTTTAAATAGCTTATAACAAAAGTGTAAATGTTAGAATGTTCCAGCAAGCGGAGGCCAGCCGCAGCCACCGGGCTGGCCTGAGTCCGGCTGCAGGTGGGGCCCAGCTTGCTCGCTTGAACTTGGCCGTAGAAAATTTTGCAGTGGATTCCAAAAGTATGTGGTTCCAAACACTCGTTGGTTGTAGGCACAGTAAGACGTTGTGCTATATGGGCTGCAGGAGGGCAGGCCCCACCCAGCAGAGCCCCCAGCGGTGCGCGCCGCCTGCCCGTCCCTGCAGCGTCCGAGCCGGGACAGCAGGCAGTGGGTCCGCTAGGGCTCCAGCTCTGTCCCGCTTTCGCCGCCCGCAGCCTCGGGGCGGGCCCGCGGCCACAGCTGCTCCTGCAGCTCCTTCACCACCTTCTCCAGGTGCTCCCGGGCCTCGCGCTCCCGCAGCAGGTCGGCGCGCAGCTGCTCGCGGTCGGCCTCCGCGTGCTGCAGCTTCACCTGCAGGTCCTCGATCTGAAAGGGACGCCCCCAGCGTCAGCAGACCCCGCTTCACACACCCGGACCCGAGCCCAGTCACCGGGGCTGGGAGAGCCTCTCAGGCGGCGCCAGTGCAGACCAGCTCCCGCCACCAACTGCGCACGCAGAGCCCGCGGTGGGAACTCTCAGGGCGGCGGCCTCGGCCTCCCGCTGCCCAGGCCCTGCCCCTGGCTGTCAAGGGGGCTGAGGCAAGGGGTCCCCGGCCACAGCGTAGACCCACGTGGCACCTCGCTACATTGGCGCGCGCGCCTGCCCCCGCCCACTGCCCCGCGTACCTGGGCGGAGTACTTGGCGCGCAGGCGGCCGGCCTCGCAGCCCTTGTCGCACACGCGGACCTGCCGGGCCTGCTCCAGCTCCCGCTTCAGGCGCAGCCGGGCCTCGTTGGCCTCTTTCATCTTCTTCTCGTTCTCGGCGCGGAGGCGTTCAATCTCCTTCCGCAGGTTCCGCTTCGCCTCCGTGGCTTCCCGCAGCTTCTCCTTCTTGGCCACACGTAGGAACTCGAGCTCCTGCGACAGCAGGTTCAAGGTCATGGCCCTGTCCGGACCTACCGGGTTCCCAGCTCTGTCCCCCGCACCCCTCAGAGGGGACAGTCCTGCGGCAGGCCAAGCACATGCCCCACCTGCCCCACCAGCGCTCTGGCCACTCCCCGGCACCTGTGACCCCCAGAGGTGCCCCACACCGGGACTCCTCTCTCTGCCTCCATTCCCTCTGTCTTCTGACCCGTGCCCACAAGATCCCGAGACCTAGGCTCTGCCTCCCCTCTACGCGCCAGGGCTCGGTGCAGCCGTTCTGGGCCTGGGGTCTGAAGGGGAGGCTGCCGAACTTAGCTGCTGCAGGGCCTCCAACGTCCTCTCCCCAAGTTCCCTCTGTGTCCAGCCCCTGGGACTTCCTTGCAGTCAGGGGTCCACTCAGTTCCAGTGGCAGGTGGCATGGAGCCAGATGGAGACAACCCCCTTCCCGTGCCTGCTGCGCTGGTTATCAGTAACTCCCCCCTGCAAACATGCTTATAAATAGCATTTCCTAGGGAAGTCACACCTCCAGCCAGAACCAGGACCCGGAAGGGAGCATCCTGAGCCTGGTGCCTGAAATGCACTCGGCGGAGAATGTCTGCAGTCGCCAGGCTCAGACCACAGTTGTGGTGCCAGCAGCCCACACGTGTTGCTGTCCCTGAGCTGCCAGACTCCGGCAGAGGTGTGAAGGCCCCGCCCTCGCCCCAGGCACTGGGGACTTAGCCTCCCCCGCTTGTCGGAAAGGAAACAAGCCAGCCTGGAAAGGCAGTGTTGGGGAGACGGCTGAGCTCAAGGACACCTGCCCTTCTTGGGGTGATGAGGGCACAACTGGGGCCCAGACCCTTCAAGCCGCCAGCCCCCTTTTCACGAGAAAGCAATCACTTCTGTGGAGTTGGCAGAACCCAGTGTGGGGGGACAGGCAGTGTGCCCGGCCCCTCTCCTCCGAGCCAGGTCTGCAGAGACCCTGCCCGGTCCCTGCTGCTCAAGGCCTCACGGCACCATCTTCCAGAGCACAGAGCTGTGGAAAACGACCCTCTACGCCACCCCCAGCAGACAAGGCCGGCCAGCCCGTGTCACCCAGCGTGCAGAGGGGTCACTGACAGCACGGGCCCAGGCCCAGGGCTCCCAGCCTGCGGCTCACCTGATGGAGGCTGCGCTTGGCCTGCAGGGCGGCGCTCAGCTTCTCCTCCTGCTTCACGCGCATCTTCACCACCTCGTGCAGGAACTTCTCTTTGGCCTCCTTGGTGTCCAGGCCGCCCTCCAGGGCTTGACGCAGGTGCTCCAGCTCTGCCTCCAGACCCCCACTGGGGGCGTCGGTGGGGGCCGCCGAGGTGTCTGGGGCGGGGGGCGGGGCGGGCGGGGCGTGCACGCCCGGGGAGCTCAGGTCCTTGGCGGAGCTGGATGAGGTAAAGGACGGAGAGGAGAGCGAGGACAGGGAGGAGGTGACTGTGGAGACAGAAAGGGCTGCAGGTTACAGATGAGCTCACGCCCGTCCCTCCCACAAAGGCCGGCCTGAGGGACAGCGAGGCTGGGGGCTCACACGCACATTCTTCTCTGCTTTCCACCTCCACCTCGGCCTCTGAGTCCTTGTCATCCTCCGGGGTGACTGTGGGCGCCGGCGTCTCTGTGGCCCCAGGCGTGTCCACTGTCAGCTTCCGTTTCCGCGGCTGGATGCAGGTGGTGAGGGGCTCGGGGGCCCGGGAGACGATGGTGGCACATGGCGGGCTGCTCACAACCTTCTGCTGGGCCGGCGGGGCCAGGGCCACGTTGGGGGCCACACCCGTCTCGAAGCTCTTGTAGGAGTAGAAGCTGCAGAGGAGGTGGGCATCGGAGCTGCAGGCGTGGCCCCCCGTACCCTGCCCACCCAGCGCCAGCCTGCGAGCACGCCAGGGCCCCGAAGCTGCAATGTGAACACTGGCCACCATGTCCTCCGTGGGCCGCAGCCAACTCCTGACACCACAAAAAGTTCTGGACGCACTCGTCCTGACACCCATCAGAATGACCAACACTCATAATGGCCGGGCCACTGGGGTCTGGGCATGTAGCCCACAAATGAGCTGTGTGCATGCGCAGATGCCCAGAGAGCTCCGTCGGGAGGCGGGAGGCGAGGCCCCGTCAGCCCACGCGGCTCAGTGGAGGCAGCGGGCGAGGGGGCGTGTGCAGCGGGCAGGTCCACGCAGGCCACGCACAGAGCAGGAACACGCCCCAGTGCTGCCCGGTCTGGGTGAGCGCGGCCGCCACCCGAGGAGCCCGTCCTCGGGCTCACACAGGCCCTTGCGAGCCGCGTCCATCCCGTCTGCTTGAAAACACTCCTTAGGGAGCTGATCACCGCTGACACGGAGGCTGCGGAGTCCGTCTGGGCCCAGGCCTGTGGTGACTGCGGCTGCTGAACTGAGCGGCCCTTACCTGTCTCGAATCAGGGCTGGGAGGTGTGGGGAGAGCTCTTTGTCACTCGCAGAAACCGCAGGGGACCAGGGTCGGAAGGCGGAGAGGCGCTGGCGAGGGTGCACGCAGCCCAGGCTCTGAGGGGCGGGGCGCCAAGTCAGAGGCCGAGCAGGGGGCTGCCAGCCCGGCCCCCACCCGCAGGCCCCGCCCCTCACCCTGCCCGGCCCCGCCCCTCACCCCACCCGGTCCCGCCCTTCATCCCGCCCCACCCCGCCCAGCCCCGCCCGGTCCCGCCCTTCATCCCGCCCGGCCCCGCCCCTCACCCCGCCCGGCCCCGCCCTTCATCCCTCCCAGCCCCGCCCTTCATCCCACCAGGCCCGGGGCAGACCTTGCTGGAGGAGCTGGCAAGGGTCCGCAGCCAGCCGGACTGTTTGTCCTTCTCAGAAGACGTGGGGTGCTGGGGGGGAGCGTCGTCTGTTTTTCTTATGGAGACGGGGGGCTCGGAGGAGACCTGTGAGGGACACAAACGGAGTTCCCATTGGCACCTCCAGCCATGTCCACAGCCTGGGCAGGGGCCCCCAGCCAGCAGATCCAACTGCACGTGAGGTGTGTCCAGTGGGCTCAGACCCTGACCTGCGTGTGGGAGCAGCGGCACGGGTGGGCCATGAGCGGGCAGAAGTCCTGGCGGGTGCCAAGGGCCTGAGTGAGTCCCCAGCGGGCCTGGCCCTCCCCACAGCCCACAGGAGCAGAAGACCTTTCCCAAGTCTGCTCAGAACAGCTCTGCCTCCCGGAGCCTGGGGGGCAGACCCCCCTGGCCCAGTGTAGGGCCCTCTGTCAGGTAGCCCAGAGCTTGCCAGGGGTGTCACACGCTGCCCCCCCTCCCCCAAGTTCTGGATTTCACCAAATAGAACTAATTTCAAAAACTGCTTCTGAGTGAACATCCCCCCCCCTCACCCCCGCAAGGACCGCTCCAAGGAACATTCTCAGAACGCAGGGTGTGTACAACAGGTCAGCTGAGCTTCAGGATGCTGGGGGTCCGAGGGGGCCCCCAGGCATCTGAAAGCAAGCGAACCTCCCGCCCAGGACCCCAGGAAGCACGGCTCTCTTCCTGGGAAGATGGACGGTGCCCAAAGTATGAGGGGCCTGGCTGTGTCCACGAGGCTCTGTGGGTGCCCAGGCGAGCCGACACAGCTACCCGCTTAGGGACGGACAGTGTCTGCCGGTCACTCTCCCAGGCCTGCCCTCGAGAGGACAGAGCAGATGTTGGGACCCTCCCACCTCCAGGAGCTTGGAGAAAAGCCTGTACCTCAGAACTGGCCCCGAGGGGGCAGGGGCTTCTCTGGGGAGGAGGGGAGGCAAGTGGTCAGTCCAGGTGCTGCTCACCACAGCCGTCACGAGGAAACCAGAGCCATGGGACAGGCTGGACCCTGGGCAGGGGGCCGTGGACTGAGGGCTCCAGGGGAAGGTCCTGTCCGGGCCGCACCCCACCCTGGGGCCGCCACGAGTCCTGCAGCCTCAGTTCAGGAGCCCAGTGGGCAGGGGTGGGGATCAGGAAGTAGGCGGCCCTCAGGCCCCATGGCCAATGCCCCAGGGCGATGGTCTGGGCCCTGCAGCGGAGCCAGTCCAGCTCCTGGGACACGTCTCAGAGGTGAGCCTACAGGCAACTCTGGGTGGTCTGCGCAGACACAGAGACAGCCATTCAGGAAAGACCCACTTGGGGCTACTTTTTACAGGAGCCGGAGCCCAGTGATGGCGCCCTCGGGCCAGCTGACCTCTGCTGCTCTGTGTGGACCTGCCCACCTGGGCACGGGGACACACACACACACACACACACACACACAAGGACGACGACACACACACACAGTGACATGCAAGGGTGGGGCTTCCTGTCTGAGCAGACAGCACACGGGGAGGAAACCAGCCTGGTTGCCACAGGCCCCGATTCCGAGAAACCTCAAGCAACTTCTGAGGGTGTCAGACAGCTTGGCTGCTGGCGGCCACGCCCACCTGCACGGCCCTCAGCCTGGCCCCATCCACTGGGCAGGCTGTGCGGGCACCTTCAAGGCGAGGGCCGCTTCCCGGACGCTGAGCACTCAGACCCATCGCCCACGGCCTCCCACGCCAGTGCTGTGGCTGAGGGACCAGGGGGGACAGGTGCTGCCAAGGAGCAGGCCCAGGCGGAAGCCCAGCAGTTGCCCTGGGCGAATGCCCGTGTGCCCAGAATGCCCGACCCCCCTGACCACCCTGGGATCCTTGAACTCCCTGCCGAAGGGCCAGGCCCTTGCTGCCAGAACAAGTCTGGAGGGAGGGAAGCCTGCCCCTCGGGCTGGGCTTCACCCGCAGCGCCAACCTGGGGGCGAGTCCAACAGCCCTGGGGACCGACCCAGCTGGGGGAAGGGCCTGCAGTCCCACTGTCAGACCTGGTAGGAGACCGTGCAGGGACAGCAGGACAGGAGAGCAGGCCGAGTCTGGGCGAGGAGGGGGACCCTCCCTGAGCGAAGGGCAGAAGCTCTGGGGCCGACCCCAGCCAGCTCCTCGGGGGTAGGAATAGGGATCAAAGTCCAGTGATGGTGCCCTCGGGACAAAGAGCAGAATCCTCCAGACCCCAGGGGACCAAATGGGACCAGAACACAAGGCCCCTGACGCAGTGCCCAGGAGCACGCCAACCCGGAAGCCGGCAGTGGTGGAGCAGGGACCGCAGCCCAGGACCGCAGCCCAGGACCGCAGCGGCTCCCCGAGTGCAGCGGAGCCCCTGGGGCACTCCGAGGACCCCTGGCAGGCTGACCCTGTCTGCCAGGTCTCACAGGCCGGTTCGGACGCCAGGCAGGAGGGCATGGGCAGACCTGGTGGCCCCCAGGCAGGGACAGTCACCCCTGGCCCTCTGGACACCGCATGTCTGGTCACTGCCCAGTTACTGCACTGACAGCCGACAAACGGCCGGCCACAGCTCCTTCCCTCTCACTGCCCACTCCTCGCGCCTTCTAGACACAGGTGTTTGAGCCAACTCGCGGGGCGGCACACACCCGAAGGCAAAGCAGAGCCCACGGCACACAGCCCACAGCCCACACGCGGGTGGGGGTGCCCGGCTGGCCCCGGAAGAAGTTCCCGTGACGGACGGACGTGGTGGAGGGCCTGCTGAGGGCATGGGGCCGGCACCGCTCTGGTGACCTCGCTGACACCCGAGGGTACTTTCCCTCCACTTTTACAGAAGAAGGGAGGGGGGAAGAGACACACTTTGATTGGTTGCCTCCCGAAAGGCCCCAGTCAGGGCTGGAAAGAGAACCTGCAATCCAGGTACCTGCCCTTGACCAGAAATCGAACCCGAGACTCTTCTTCGGTTGGTAGACTGATGGTCTGACTACTGAGCAAACCGGACAGCTGCCTGCTTTTGACCAAGTCCAGACAGCAGGTCGAGACGGGGGAGGTGTCCGTGCGGGGGAAGACAGTTAGGGCCCCGCATTCGGCCACCCCACAGAGAGCAACCCCCAACTTCATACCTTCTCAGGGGTCGCCCATGGGTAGCTCACAGAGCTGGGTGTACCCCTCACATGCTTGTGCTATGCTGTGGGGCACACCTGCCCTGCGCCCTCCCTTCACCCTCTCCCTCAGCCTCTCCCTCACCCCTCTGTACCCTCCCCCTCACCCCTCTGTACCCTCCCCCTCACCCCTCTGTACCCTCCCCTCACCCTCTCTCAGCCTCTCCCTCACCCCTCCGCACCTTCTCCCTCACCCCCTCCCTCACCCCCTCCCTCACCCCCTCCCTCACCCCCTCCAGCACTCCCTCCTGCACAATCTCCCACCAGGTCTCAGCCCACGGGAGGGGAGCACACCGTGGATGGCAGCCAGTCTCAGTGTGACCGCGAGCAGCTGCTCACGCGAGGCGTCTGCACTGTATGTGGACACACAGAGTCGAACAGCAGGGACAGAGCTCCCGGCAAGTGCACAAGCAGGCTGTGCTGGGAGCTGGCTGGGGGGAGCATCCCAGGCCACCCTGATTGCGGTGGGAGGGTTTCTAGGGAAAGCCGAGGTTGGCAGGGGAGACTGTCCCACAAGGGAGGCAACCCCACCACCCCCACAGGGTGCAACCCTGGAGGCCAGCTCGGCAGAAGTCGCAGGAGCACCCCCACGCCCTGAGCGTCTGCCGGGAAAGACATCCCGAGGACCACCCTCCACGGTCCTGCAGAACGAGCCTCCACTGACGGCACCTCCACTGTCACTGCTCCCTTCCCTACGTGGCTGGAAAGGGAGCCTGCAAAGGAGACACCCCCAAGGCTCACCTGGGCAGGGGGTCTGGCAGCCTCTCCACAATGCGAGCCAGGGGCCGAGGTATCTGGCAGCCGGGCCGCTCAAGTGCGAAGCCCCTGCTGAAGCGCGGGGCCGCTCCCCAGCCCGAAACCAGCTGCTCGGGCGACAGTGAGCGGAGGAACGAGAGACAAGCAGAGCAGGGAGGGGCCCAAAGCCAGAAGCCTCTGCGCGGGGAGGACGCCGCGGGGCAGGGGGGCCCACCCCACGGAATGGGAGGGAGGACGTGCGAATCGGGCTCTGTCGGGGTCTGTGTCCAGGGCACAGAGGACAGCCACTCCCAGCACACACACAGAAACAGCTGAAAAAAGGGCAAAGGCCGTGAACTGAGAGGTGCTCGGTATCGCTGGTCCCCAGAGAAACAAAAATCAACCCACACTGAGACCACGCCTCCCACGAGGAGGGCCACACCCACGCCCACGGGAAACAGCGGGTGCCGGCAGGGACAGGGGGACACCGGAGCCTGTGCGCTGCTGAGGGGACGCGGCACGGTGCAGCCGCTGCAGGACCCCCGTGAGCAAATGGCCTGCAGATCGGCCCCCTGGAGAGCGCCGGACGCAGCACGCGGGGAACACTCTTACTTCCGTCAAGGGCACGTGTCACTGTGATCGCGGAGGAGCTGAACCGGAGGACACAACGCAGGGCCTCGCACACTCACTGGGACGGACCACGAGTTTGGTGACAACGTGGAGAAGAAGTAGACCCCACCCACGTTGCTGGAGGGGGGACGGGCCACGGCAGCCGTGGGGCAGTGTGCCGGGTCCACATGAAATACGGAATCCCCAGGAGATGTGGCACCACACCTGGCCCGGCCCCAGACTGCGGAAAACGCATCCACACAGAAGCGTCTGTGAACGCACACAGCAGATCAGACGTGGGGGCCGCCAACACCGCTGCGGGGCAGCCCTGACCACCGCTCAGTGAGCAGCCGGCACAGCAGGCCCCCAGCTGAGTCCATCCACGCGAAAGGCCCGGAGCAGGCAGAGCCGGACGAGAAGTGGGGCCGGGTGCCGAGGCGTGAGAGCTCCCGGGCACAGGTTTTCTCGGCCTGAAGAAAATACTCTGAAACGAGGTCACGGTGATAGTTGCTGAGACCAGAAACAGCACTCTTAGGAAGGGTGAATTTTATGTAAATGATTTCAATAAAGCTGTTATAAGAAGCATTTTTTTAAAAAGGTGACACAAATTGTTGGCTGAACACCAAACCGC